AATCAGATACACATTTATCAGTCATAAACTCACATAAAAAATACCGTTTAATAACAGGTCGGGTGAGGTGTCTGAGCTCCGCACCGCCCAGTATTCGGACTGAAGTACAAAACACCAGCAATTCATCCATTCGTACAAAATCGCCGCAAAACTCATCGTTTCGTAAGTGACATCCCATTCCCCGAAATAGATTCGCCTCAATCTCTATGATGTATTGTCTTATACCCAGACCCTCGTGAGAAACAGCCGCCAAAACCGAGTCCAATGAGTATCTCACCGAAACCGGAGGGGAAAATCTGGTTGAAGCCCAAACCCAAGTCAGATGAGCCGGATACACCCCGAAAGCCATCGCCCGAACCGCTAAACAAACCCAATATCTTCTCCGACATCCGGAACGACTTCGAGAAGATGTCGGCGCCGACAGTGCAGGTCAATGTGGAGGCGTTCAAGAAGTGTACGCCACCGGCGCCCGTGCAGCCCATGCCCAGGACGACCGTACAGACAAAGGCCACAGACATCAGGACAACGGCTGTCAAGTCTCCATCGCCTGACCCCACGAAAGCCCCGAACCAAAAGCCAATCAATTTGACCAATAAGTCAGTGGACAACAAATACAGCGCCGATATGACAGCCATTAAGTCGGTGCCCATGCATGGTAAGGATGTTCTGGATACTTTTGATGTATTATACATCTCATAAATACTGTACATTAATTTTTTCCACTTGAAAATTGCTGTGTTTTGATTTGATTTTTAATCCGATGTTTTATTTTTTTGTTTTTTCTCCCTCTCCCCGACTGTCTATCTGTAGCCCTAAGTGATGATCTCTATGGCCCACTATCTCTCTAGTTAGCCATTAGTCTGTTGACACACATGTATGTTATGATCACCAGATAAATAGACCATGCTAATTAGACTGATGGTTTCACTTTAGATTTACTGTAAAACACACTTTTTTGCACTTTTATTCACTTTAATTAAATTCCTGACAAGTTTTCGTATGACTTAGCATTTGATTTCACTTTAATTAGTCTCGTATTAATTTTTATTTCATTTTAAGTTAAGTTTGATATTTTCTACCTGATTGCTATGTAAACCTAATATCAGCTTGATTATTCACACCTGAATGCAAATATACTTTATTTTCTAGTATCTGAAAAGCAATCCTACTTTTCATGAGACTTTACAAATCTCATCAGAGGTTTATTGTATTTCCTAGAGATCTATAGAAAACTGATTCTGAAGTGAAACCAAACACATAGTTATAAAACGTTATTAACTTTGTAATAAAACTATAGATCAAATAAATAGTATTTTTCATACGATTCCCAAACCCTCTCTTTCTTTTGTATTAACCGACGGAATGACACAAAAAACAGATAATAAACCAAAAATCGGCGACAAAACCGAAGAGAAGAGCAAACCGGCGGCAGTGGCGAAGCCTATGGCGTCGAAACCGACGGCCAAAGTGCAGCCCTCGCCCTCCACGTCCCTCACACACCTGCCCCCCAAGGCATCCGGCATACAGTCCATCGACGAGGAGGTGAAGATCGTGAAGCCGCCCACCGCTAAGGTCAAGGCCGGCAACGTCTTGGATAAGGCTCGCCATCGCTTGGATCACTTCTGGAGCAGAAATAAATGAGTTCTCGACAGTTATCGTGCAAACTATGGCCTCACATATACAGACCAATGATTTTATTGAGTTTTTATAGCCGTTTTGTGTCCACTATTTACCGTATAATCAGTAGTTATATGCAGACATATATCGCTTTTCATTGAAATTATTTTATTGATTGCATAAATCATAATACTTTATAAAAAGGAGTTTTACAAATGATATACTCATTCATTGAACACATTGTTTGAATAACACTTTTACTATTTATTATGAATGTCGCTCTCACTTGTCATTAGCAACACTCGAAAGCAAAGTCTAATTATTATCGTATCAAACATTACATTTAAAATTATTGTGAATATATAATTGTTACCAATTTTATCTTATAACGTAATGGTCTACCCGTTTGTAGGAACTATTTATAGCAATTTACACACAATTGTATGTATTATGTAATGATTGTTTTCATTTATGACTTATTATTTATTAAAAGATAATTTATTTCTTCAAATTGTGAGAAAATTGTCAATAATTATTATATTAGAAAAGTAACGATTCATAAAATACAAAATTAATTCTTATCAATGTTAATATTGGCACTCAATGTTCAAAAAATACTAAAAGTTTGTAATGTAATAATCATAAGGAATACAGTATGTAATAATGGAAATACTATATATCCTTACTATTGATAATCAAAGTGAGATCATCCATGACTGAGATAATAGGCACTTATAGGGCAACGAATTCCTGGAAGTCGTAGGACCAGTAGAGCTCGTCAACGCCTTCGGTGATGTGGTTAATGAGCTGATCCTTAAACCGCAAGCAATTGGTTTTTGTCATCAATAAGTCGGACTTTCTGTGGGACTCTCCGTCGTCGCCCATCAAAATCTTGGACAGTGTCTCCAAATGGGACTCAAAGGCATTCAAATTTTGAGTGAATATATCAAACTGTGGCGTATTTTGACAGAAATACGCGAAAACCACTGAAACAAACGAGAAAAAAGTTCAAAAGCTTTCAAACATTAAACAAACGCTTACAAAAGAGTCCATAATATAGTCTACACTCGTATAGTGAGGTGAAGGAGTGGTGCAAAACGACAATATCTCCCGCAATGGGCGGCGAAGTGTGCGGTTTAAACAAACCGTCTCTCACTTCAGTCTCCTTCACAATCATTTGACTATTGCTTTGAATTCGGGCGAAGAAGAGCTCGAATTTGCTCATCGGACTCATCACTAGCTTCCAGACAATTGTCGAACGACAGACACCGCAGAAGCTAATCATAGACAGTGAGCACACCGTTAATCACAAATAGACATACCTTTCCCATCAATACATGCCAATTATCAATCTTTTCAGTGTTATCAATAAAAGTGCGACAATTGGGACACCTCTTGATGTCGGCAAAGTTACCCTTGATTTCGGAGTAGACCCTCAGCGCCCACTCCCGGGTCAGTTCGCAGGGTAGAGGCCAGTGCTTGCGTTGTCCGCATCGGTTGCAGAACTCTGTGTCGCAGACGCAAGCGATGGTCTGAACGCCGGGAGTCATCATTTTGACGATACGACAGCAGCTGGTGTTGGCGCAGAACCGGTAGCCGCGCCGGTGGTTCACAAACGAGTTGACCACGAGTTGCGCCAACTTGTCTCTCACCACTTGATCCACAAGCAGCGGCTCGACGAGAGACCAGTCGACCAGACGATGGCACAAGTCGTGGGCGCATCGGATCTCCTTTATGTTGACTGCGGACTCGATTCTTGAGGTGAGGTATTGAGCCCAACATCGGTTGCAGTAGTGGTGACCACAACTCAGTGCGAAGCCGTCCTCCTCTTTGGGCGTATCGTTGAAACACTGGCGGCAGAAGTTGTTCACCACTTGAGTGTCCGCTATTGACATCTCTCTCAACAGGTTATAGGGAACAGACGTCTCGTCGAAGACCTCACTCATCAGCTTCTCTTTGTCCCAATTGTGGTCAACGATCAGATTCCAGACATCATTGAATGGAAGTGATACGAGTTCTTGCATTTGCGCCACGAATGTCATCACGTCTTGAATCAAGTGATCTCTGGTCACCACTTTGTAGAAGACAATGCCATCGTTGCAGACATACAAGCGGTTGACATCGTTGTGGTCGCTGTCATCCATCGCTTCCGTCAAAGTAGTGGTCGATGACTCGGACGGCGGCTGCGACTCGAGCGCCAGTGTCTCCATCATCTGATCCACCATTACATACGGCGATACTGTTGTGGTTGTCGTCGACCTAATGGACGGCGTGTGCGATAAGATGGTCAGCTTCTCCAGCATCTGATCCATCGATGGAGTCTTCGGAACCAATCCGTTCGGCGACTCAGTTATGGACGCGGAGGTCAAGGCAGTCGGCGCCCACTGCACCGGCGTGTCACTCGTTGTCTGGTGACCATCGGGTGTCTGTTGTGGATCAGCTGATGGTGACGAGCGATTGCTTACGCGTTCAAACGATGCGGTGGTGGTCGCGGAAGCGGCTCTTGACGGCGGTCTGTCCACCAACTCAAACGATAACTCCGAAGAGTCCGAAGAGTTATCATCAACACTATTATCAGCCATAGTGTGGTCAACAAAATGGATTCAAATCAAGTGATTGTCAATTAGTGGTACATCTCAATGGCAATACGTGACAAACAGTAGATGTGATACACAGTACAGGGTGTGATGGGAACCAATGGGTGATCATATGGTGAGACACCACAGTGTCTGTCACTACCGCTTGCACTGAACTGATGGCTGTGTTTGTGATACCCTTTCAGTGACTGTTCACTACTCTGTTGTCAATATTATAATAGCCAATAGTATTACGATTTATAAACTATCATATAAGCCATGAATGCCTGTGAATGGCCGCAGCATTCAAAACAGTGATTGCAATAAACAGTGAAATCACTGTCGCATATGAATAATGAGGGGACCCAGAGGGGGGTCAAGGGGGCGCTATTCAGGGGACCCCCACTCATAGTCCGGTTGAACAAAATGTGGAAAATAATTATACAGTATATTTGGTGTTAAAACTTATTTTGTATACAAGTTGTGGAAATTATTTAGTTTTTTAATACTTTAGAAAATACTTGTTAAACTTGAACTAAATCTAGATAATTTAATTTACCAGTGTAAAGTTAATACTCTGCCCATTACTGCATATAAACCCCCCTCCCCCTCTAAGTATCACTGGTATTATTATACATGATAGGGTTACTTGTAATTTAATTGCAGTTTGTAATGATAAGCCATTTATAATGAAATTGAAATTCAAATAGACAGTAAATATTCACATTTCGCACCCACTTAAGTAGGCACTCCCTGACCACTCACTTGACATCCCTCTGACCACATATTTTATTCATTAAACTATCTGCGACCTTGATACTTTTTTTTATTAACTCATTTATTGGAAATTATTTGACAACTTGTGTTTTATTAGAAACTTATTTGTTAGTTTATCTAAATTTATATTATTGCATAGAATTACTTTTATTAATCTTTTGTTAACTTTCATAAACTTTCCTAAAAAATTAATTCAAACAAAATAAAACATCGGATTAAAAATCAAATCAAAACACAGCAATTTTAAAGTGGAAAAAATTAATGTACAGTATTAATGAGATATATAATACATCAAAAGTATCCAGAACATCCTTACCATTCATGGGCACCGACTTAATGGCCGTCATATCGGCGCTGTATTTGTTGTCCACTGACTTATTGGTCAAATTGATTGGCTTTTGGTTCGGGGCTTTCGTGGGGTCAGGCGATGGAGACTTGACAGCCGTTGTCCTGATGTCTGTGGCCTTTGTCTGTACGGTGGTCCTGGGCATGGGCTGCACGGGCGCCGGTGGCGTACACTTCTTGAACGCCTCCACATTGACCTGCACTGTCGGCGCCGACATCTTCTCGAAGTCGTTCCGGATGTCGGAGAAGATATTGGGTTTGTTTAGCGGTTCGGGCGATGGCTTTCGGGGTGTATCCGGCTCATCTGACTTGGGTTTGGGCTTCAACCAGATTTTCCCCTCCGGTTTCGGTGAGATACTCATTGGACTCGGTTTTGGCGGCTGTTTCTCACGAGGGTCTGGGTATAAGACAATACATCATAGAGATTGAGGCGAATCTATTTCGGGGAATGGGATGTCACTTACGAAACGATGAGTTTTGCGGCGATTTTGTACGAATGGATGAATTGCTGGTGTTTTGTACTTCAGTCCGAATACTGGGCGGTGCGGAGCTCAGACACCTCACCCGACCTGTTATTAAACGGTATTTTTTATGTGAGTTTATGACTGATAAATGTGTATCTGATT